GCCGGGCCTCAGCTCCAGACTCATCCCGCCGGCGGCTCCGAGCCTGGGATGCGGAAACCCGCCGAGGGAGAGGCGGTGGCACCCTCTTCCCAAGATGGCGCCGTCGGCCGCGGCGGTGTCCGGCCCGGTCCCGGGGTCTCACTCCTGCCTGGGCTGCGGCGGGGGTCTGTGGGTGGCTTAGGAGCACGGACACTGGCCCGGCCTGGCTGCTGGCACTGGCACCCCGACTTGGTTCTCGGGTGCCCCGGGAATTCAGGCCTACAGCAGGTGGGGTTGGAGAGCTCCGCCTACCTCTGACTGGCTTGGTCGAGCTGTGCGAATGATGGGATCCTCTTGTCTCTTCCGTGGGAGGCGGTGAACCGAGGCCGCGGGGTTCCCTGCAAGCAGGTTAACATCCTGACACTTTCAGAAGTTTAAAGCTCTGGCTGTCACTTAGCATGTTTAGTTTTTGCCCCACTGAAGTGGATTCAAGGTGCTGAATCAAGGTGCCTTGCAGGTAACTAGCTAAACAACAAAATCCCTATGTGTACGTCTCTTGGAATACTCAGGATTGCTCAGATCATTCTTAACGTAAAATGTGAACCCATAGAGTTGTGAGGAAAATATGAACAGTACCTGGCACAATTTAAGGACTCAGTAATTTTTTAAATAGAAGATAAGAACTGCGTAAAAAATTGCTATTTTTCAAGATTTAAGATGCATAATATGCAAGAGGTTTGTGTTGCCGGATAAGAAGTACAAGCAATAAGTACAAAGGGTTTTATGTAGTGCGCCGTGGTGTGTGTGTGTGTGTGTGTTGTGTGTTGCCGGGAGTTGAACTCAACCGCTGTGTGCTCAGGAGGAGCTCATCTAAGCTACTCCCAGCCCATGCACTTAATTTTTAGCATTAATACCATGGTCAATGTGTGTATGTTTATAATTTGGCTTATTTCCTGTTTGAGGTCTTTGGAAGTAAAGATTCAGTAGCTTTGAACTTTAAAAGGCGCTGAATATGGAGGCATCCATCTGTCATCCCAGCATTCTGGAAGCTGAGGTAGGAGGATCCGGAGTTCCAGGCTATCCCTAACTTACCCCTGTGCTTGCCTAGGCTACAAGATACAAGACTATGTCTCAAAAAAGATGGGGCGGAGAGGGGAGGGATTACTTCAAAGCAAAACTTAAGTACAAATTTTTGTTCAGTTTTTCTGTGATATCTGATGTTGCCCTGAAAATTTGGGAGCAGCAAGGACATTCGGAACAAGTTTTGCCCTGTATTTATTGTTTTGTAGGTAAGGAACTACTGGGAGACATTTAAGCTGAAAATATATCTGGACATGTGTTGGTGCATGACAGTCTATTGATCTACAGCATTATCTCATAAAGAAGCCATTTAAATTGCCAATTTCAAACACCGTGTACTTAGTACGCACTGTATTACAGACTACATTGTCTTACTTAATTTTCACAGTAACTATGCAATGGTAAAATATAATGGATACCAAGATTTGGAAAGTAAAACTTTGCTCTGGCAGAAATTGGCATAGCCAGGATTAGACTTCAAAATCTGGTTTTGTAGGTTAGAAGAAATGGGAGTTTTATTTATTTTGAGACAAGCTCTCACTGTGTAGCTCTGGATGGCTTGAAACATGCATGTAGACCAGGCTGACCTGGAACTCAACAGAGATTCATCCACCTTCCTCCGGACCCAGAGTGATGGCATTAAAAATCTTGGACTGCCGAGTCTTTGGGGGTTGGGGTTCGAGACAAGGTTTTCCTGTGTGGCTTAACTGTCTTGGAACTTGCTCTATAGACCAGGCTGACCTCAAACACAGAGGTATGCATGCCCAGTGCATGGTTGCCCGGCCAACAACCATGTCTGGTTTTTTGGAGGGGGGGGGACAAGGCTTTGATATCTCTGATGGACATATTTTTATCTCAGCTTCCCAAGTGCTAGGACCACAGGCAAACTCCATCATGCCAGACTAGAATGGTAGTTTTGTGTTCTCTTGGTTAGGTTAGAAGCAGCTTAAATGTCTTTATCTGTAAATGTGTCAGTATTTAAAGATATGCCATTATCAAGAGTGTTCCATGTATCAACTCAAATTTTATGGGGAGTACAAATTTCTTACCCTAAGTATAAATAAATGTAGTTGCTTTGGGACAGAGAATTTGGGGGGGGGGAGGGGGAAGAAATCCTTAGTGAGTTTTGTTGTTAATAAGCTTATAAGTCACATTTATTTTAGTTTGGATGTATGTGTATGTATTCCTGTGTGAAGGTGTATATTTGTGTGGAGATCAAATGGAAAATCTCAGGTCTTGGACCTCACCTTTTCACCGTACATGGTTGCCAGGATCCAAACCTGTGCATACACTGCAAGTGCCTTACTCAGTGATTTTTTTTTCTCCCTTTTTCTGAAACAAGGACTTTATGTAGCCCAGGCTAGCCTCAGGAACACTTCACAGCCCTTCTTCTTCCAGGTTCCTGGGTACTGGGATTGCAGGCTTGCCCCATCCAGATTCCATATATTGATAAAAAAAAGTTTGGACTAAACTATTAAAGTTCTTTCAAATATTTGCCAGTTCTACCAAGATTCAAAACAAACTGGATGTCTTGGTGCAGATCTTAAGAGCTTGAAGTGGAAAGAACACCATCCTGTGCTACTTTGTGACACCCTGTCTAAAGAGGAGGGGAGGAGACTGTCACTCAGGTTTTTCCAAATGCAATGTTAAACAGATAATACATATATTGTTAGCCCAAAAACTACCCTCCAAAATTGCTGTAAAGTAAATAACTCACGCCTAATCCTACCAGATAGAGAAATCCTTATCAGCCAGACACATAAACTTAGGAGTTAAAAAAATACTTGGTGGTTGGGAATTAAGATTAAGTGAAAAATGTATCATTTAATGGAGGCCTTCAAGTAGTAAATTCTATGATTTGTTCTAAAAGCTTTCCATTTACTAACATAATTTTCTTCAAAATCAATTTAATCCAAGTAATGTAGTATGACATTAGAACCTGATTTTCTTTTCTTCGTTTTAAAGATTTTTTATTGTTTTAGTTAATATGTGTGTTGGTGTGTGCATGTGAATGCCAGTGCTCAAGAAGGGCAGAGGAGGATGTCAGATCTCCCGGAACTGGTATTACAGGTGGTTGGTTGTGAATCACCCTACAAGCTGAGCTCCTGTCGCCTAGAATAGCAGTGCTCAGGCTAAACTGCCATCGCTCAGCACCCAGAGCCCGGATTCTTATTGACCTCTCACATGTTTACTTTTCCTCATAAAAGAATACTTGATACTGTTGAGTGGCTGTATTAAGTATTTAAAATACTGGCATAAAAGTCAAGTCTTTTTTATTTTTTATTTGTTTGTTTGTTTTGGACTTAGAGCCTGCTACTTGTTGGGCAAGCACTCTACCAGTCTTCAACCCCAAAGTCAAATTGTTGAAGGTTAGTTGTTTTGCTTTGTAGTCAGATCTTACATGTTGTCTGCGACTTTGAGCTCCTGCTTCAGCCTTCCCAAGGTTGGAATTGACATTGCTACTACACCCCGCTGAATATTTGCCTCTTTTTTTTTTTTTTTTTTACTAATTTGTTGTTGTTAACATACAAAGAGGTGGGTTACAGGTGATGTTTTCATTTGTGTCATTCTGCCCTGTCCTCTCTCATACCCTTCGTCTCTACAGATTGTCTCCCTTCTGCTTTCATGACATACAGATACATAAATTTTATTACTTTTCTCTTCTTCCAAGCGTTCTCGTTTCTTCGACTCCCCCAAGATAGGGTTTCTCTGCAGAACAGTCCTAGCTGTCCTAGAACTTACTCTATAGACCAGGTTGGCCTCAAACTCAGTGATATCCCCCACCTCTGCCTTGCTTCTTCCCAAGTGCTGGGATTAAAGGCATAAGCCATCACTGTCCAGCTCTCCTCTCTTACTTTAGACTTTTCACCCTTCTTTTGAAGGTTAATTTGAGGTGATTTTAGGCTCAAATCTTATGACATTATTTCCCTGAAAGGTGATGAAATAAACTAAATGACACTGGCTGTCTTCTTGGTCATTTCAATACTCTTATATTAAACTGACTAAAAGTGACTAATACTGATTTACTTAGTTTTGATTTGTTTATTTAATTGTTATTTGTGTCTCCACAGGTATTTTCTCCAGAAAGAAAACAAAATTGATAACCTTGCATCCTGGAAGTTCATTTAGAAATCTGAAATTAGGGACTTCTTTCAAATTTGGACATGGCTAATCGAGGAGCAACAAGACCCAATGGGCCAAATACTGGGAATAAAATATGCCAGTTCAAACTGGTACTTCTAGGAGAGTCTGCTGTTGGCAAATCAAGCCTGGTGCTTCGCTTTGTGAAGGGCCAATTTCATGAATTTCAAGAGAGTACCATTGGGGGTGAGATTCTTCTTTTCCTTTGTATCGTTTACATTAATAAATGTTTGTTCTAAATGTGATTTTGAATAACTAAATAGATAATGCAGGGAAGAAAAAAACTTTCAGCAGAACTTGAACTTTAAAATATACTTTAATTTGGTGTTTTATTTTATTTGTAAACAAGGTATTGTACCCTAAGCTATCTGAAATTTTTATAAACTTACCCTTCTGCCTCCTCATTATTTGGGTTACAGATATACACTACCAGCCCAGCATGGTTTGGGAGCTTAAACAATATTTAATGTGGAAAAACTTTAAAACAAGCTAGATGGGGTGGTTGGCACAAGCTTATCATTCCAGCATTGCAGAACCTGAAGAGGGAGGACTGTGAGTTTCAAACCAGTGACTGTGACATAGTGAGAGCCTATCTCAAAAAAAGGAAAACAAAACACAAAATTGAAACATGTTGTTTATTTAAGTAGGAAAGTCTTTTCAAGACAAGGTATTGCCCTGTATCCCATGCTGCCCATGAACTCTTAGTGATCCTACTTGCTTTAGCTAACAAGTGCTGGAGTTTCAAGTCTAGTCACCATGCCTCACCTGTTTTGTTTGTGAGATAGAGTCTCAAACAAGAGTTTATTTCATAGTTTTGTTTTGGTTTTTTTAGGGGTGGGCTGGAGTGGGATAGGAGAGGGACATTTGTAAGATAGGTTTCATGTAGCCTAGGCTAGCCTAGAACTGAGCTAGGTAGTTGTGGAGGACCTTAAATGTTTGTCTATCTCCTGAATGTAGAGATTACAGGTGGGCCACTGTGTTTGTGGTGGTGGGGATTTTATGTGTGATAGAAAAGCTACTACCAACTAAGGTACGTGTGTCTCTAAGCCTGAGTCATTTTTAACACAATGTTTTTATCTTAAATCCTTCCTCTAGCAAAGACTACTTTTGTTAGGTTGAGGAAGTCACATGTTTACTTTCCTCTTACATGAAACAGAAATAACAGTGCCTTGCCTGAAATGAAAACAGATGTCTTAATGTCTTAGGTGACAAGAAAATAAATGCTTAATAAGTGCATTTAAACAAATCCCAATCTAGCTTTTTTGCTGAGTCATTTCTAGCATTGTTGATATGTTATGTAATAATTTGGGTGATAGCTGCTTAGTAGTTGATTTAGGATATTAGAGTTTTGTTTAAGTAGGGCCTGCAGAGATGGCTAAGCAGTTAGGAGCACTGGTTTCTCTTACAGAGGTAAGAACTTTAGGCCCAAACTTTCTTTACTTAGGCTAGTAGTTCTCAATCTGTAGGTCGAAACCCCATCAGGGGTCAAATGATCCTTTCAGAAGGGTCAAAGATATGGTAGTTTCATTGAAATTCATAATAGTAGCAAAATTACAGTTAGAGTAGTAACAAGATAGTTTTTTGATGGGTAGGGATCACCACAACATGAGGAACTGTCTTAAAGGATCATAGCATTGGGAAGGTTAAGACCAACTGACTTAGACAATAAAGTTCTTACTAAAATTTATAGTTGCTAGGCATGGTGCATCCCTTTAATCCTAGCATGAAAAGGCAGGGGCAGGTGCATCTCTCTGAAATGGGAGGTGAAAGCAAGAGAATTGAAGTTCAAGTCCTATCTGCGTCTGTGAGTCTGACGCTAGCCTGCTCTACATGAGATATTGTCTCAAAATACAGTGGTACCATTAACAATGTGACAGTGGTGTGTCGTCACACACCTTTAAATCCCAGCCACCAGAAGGCTCAGGCTAGCCACCGCTGCATAGTGAGACCATCTTAGTTAGGGTTTCTATTCCTTCAGTGAAACACCAAGATCAAGAAGTTGGGGAGGAAAGGGTTTATTTGGCTTATACTTCCATATTTCTGTTTATTGCTAAAGGAAGTCAGGACAGGAACTCAAACTGAGACTATAGTGTGTACCAGTACCATATCCTAGTTTTTGTTAAAGCTACATTTTAAGAAATGGTAAAAGACACCAATGTGGGAAATGGGGTATTATTTGAAACAAGGGTAGGTCAGACTGGCCGTGAATTCCAGGTCCTCTTGAGAGCTGGACCTGATTTATTGTATTGTTTTACTTCATGAAAAAAGGATGCTTTTAAAATACTTTCACTGTTTTTAGGTTTTTGTTGTTGCTGTTTGGTTTCTTGTTTGGACTTTGAGATGCTGTCTACCTGTAGTTCAGGCAGCTTTTGACTTGTAATGATCTTCCTGTCTCAGCTTCCCTGAGTGCTGAGACTACAGGCATGAGCCATCACATCTAATTTCTTGTGCTTTTTACTACAAAGATAAAGTTAGTGTACGGTGCCCATTGGTTTTAAGTGAAAGAATATTATCTTTATGAATAGTATTATTTTCTCTTAGGACATTTATATCTGTGTGTTTGTAGGTTGTATTTGATGTTGGTAAAAATTTGATTTTTCATACTAGTTTGTGCCACTTAGGAACCGAGGAGTTGATGTTTCAGTAATTGTATTATCAGTCCTCACTCTGTATAATTGAAATATTATTGTTGAGTAAGATTGATTGTAATTCTCTGTCCTTTATAAATATGTGGGCCCTGTTTACACATTTCATAAATGAGAGTAGTGAACTGGATAAGGATTTCTAAAGAAGACCTTTTGTTGATGTTTTATTTTGCTTACAGTACTGGAGATTGACCATCGAACCCCATGCCTTCTAGGCTGGTGCTCCACCGATGTTCTACATCTCCAGCCCCAGGTGTTTGTTTAAATTGCTTATGATGGTGCACACTTTTAATTTCAGCAGTTGGGAAGCTGATGCAGGCAGATCTGAGTTTGGGGCCAGATTGGTCTACATAGTGAATTCCAGGATAGCCAGGGCTACATATTAAGACTCTGTATCCAAAAGGGGGGGGGGGCTATATTTCAATGGGAAAGTGTTTGCCTAGCGTTCATAAGGTCTTAGTTTCAATACTTCCCCCCCCTCCCGAACCCCAAAAGATGGTAACACGCATATACACCTACTATGGTCAAGATTATTTAATGCAAAAATCATTATGAATCATGAGTGTTAATTTTTTCCATCTCAATTTTGTTGGGGTTAGGGTGGTGCTGTTAAAGTATTCGAAGCTGCCCAGCAGAATGGGTTGACTAAGGAGCTCTGAGCTAGTGAACTGCCTCTGTTAGTTCACTTGACTGTTCTGTTGTATATTAGGCATAGTAGGTTGTCTGAAATTCATTACCTATCTCCACTGTTCTACTTGAAGTCACCTGTGGTCTACCTGTTTTAGCTGAATATAATGGTTCATACCTATAATCCGAGCACTTGGGAGTTGGCAGAGAGGACAAGTTCAACACCAGCTTCAAGTATGTAGTAAGTATGAGGTCATGTCTCCATAAAAAGGAAGTAATAATTCAAGAAACTTTTTGTGGTTGATATGTTTTTGAGACGAGGTCTCTTGTAGCCCAAGCTGCCTTTGAATTCACTGTATAGTAATGACCGTTCCTTCTGTTTTTACCTTCCCAACTCGAGAATTATAGGCCAGTGAGCCTAGAGTATGTGGTGCTGGGGACTTAACCATGGGTTAGTATGTGATAATACAAATTACTACCACCTAAGCTACATTCTTGGCTCAGTTTGAGAAGTTTTTGCTTTTTTTATTTTGTATGTGTCAGTGTGGGTGCTCTGTGTCAGAGAGGACTCTGAAGATCAGAGGACTAATTTTGGGGGTCAGCTCCTTTCTTTTGCTGTGTATTCTAGGGATGGAACTCCAGTCATCAGGCTTGTATGGCAAACACCAACCATTTTGCTGGCTCAGGTTTTTGTTTTTAAGTTATCAACTAGCTTCATGTAAGCATAAACTCGAGCTACTTAATAGCTAATCCATCAAGAAGAGATTTTGATTTTTCAAGACAGGGTGTCTCTGTGTTACAGCTCTAACTATCCTGGAAGTCACCTTGTAGACCAGTCTGGCCTTGAACTCAGAATTCCGGTAGCCCCCTCCCAAGCACTAGGATTAAAGGTATATGCCACCACTGCCCGGCTCAAGAAGAGATTTTTATTGGTATCACATACTGGACTTTTTTCTTTTTGTATTGTTAACGTTAAGGATTGAGTCTAGAGCCTTACCACTAAGGAGTGACAACTGAGAACTGAACAAGTGCTCTATCACTGAGTTACAACCCAGACTGTTTTTTTTCTCCTCATTTTTATTCTGAGACAGGGTCTCCTTCAATTGTTCTGACTGTCTTTCAACTCACTGTCTCAGATCACGACTTGAATTTTGAATCTTCCTCCAGAGTAACTGAGCTTTTTTTTTTTTTTTTTTTACATCTGGTCATATATTGGACTTTAAAGATAATCCCAGTATTTTACAAACCTCTCTGCCTCTCCCTTCTTGATACTTTTTTTCCTTTCCACTCCTTCCCTTTATTTTTTGAGACAGTTTTGCTGTGTAGTCCAGGCTGGTCTTGATATCACAATTCTCTTGCTTCAATTCCTACTACTGAAATGACAGGGCACTGGAACGAGGGTTATGTTTGAAAAAAAAAACATAAAATAACAGGAGTATATTTGGGGACTTTATTGCATTTGTATCTAATTTGTAAGTTTCAGAAAGATGTTACTTTACAGAAATGATTTATTGAGACAGGGTACCCCACTCATCCCATGTGCACTCATGGGATTTAGACTACATATTTCCAAGTTTCGTCAGTACATTAACATGGTTGTATAAAAACATTAATAGTTGAGGAAAGCATGGCAGTAACTTAAATAGTTTGTGTAAGGTTTTTGTGGTTGACTCAGAGAGCAGGTCCTTCTGTGCAACCATTGTTCTATAGGTGTGCACATGGGTCTTTTGTTTTTTGCAAGAAGTTGAGACTAGAAAATCAGTACACATGACAAGCATTGTGCTGTATAATTGAATAGTTGGAAGTTACTGACTCCTCTTTTATGTATCAGTTAAAGAAAATAATGTGAAGGTATTTTCAAAAGCTTTGTCTTAGAAAAAGGAGATAAGAAGGCTGGGGGCAGTGGCATATGCC